ATATTCTACGCGTAGTAATCCAACGCATAATAGTGCAACGCGTGGTAATTCTAACCGTAGGAACCTAATGCGTGGTAATCTAACGCGTAATAATCCAGCATGTGGATATCCAACGCGTAGTAATCCAACGGGTGGATATTCGACGCGTAGTAGTCCAACGTGTAATAATCCTCGCGCTCTGATTGGTCCGTGTTTTTCCTTAACCTCGCGCTCTGATTGGCCCGTGTTTTTGCTTAATAATTCAGAAACGAAGCTTCACAACCCATTTTTGCAAAGGGAAATTTATTCAGAATCACGTCAGCTACGATTTCAGGGACCTACTAGTAGTGAAACACCCTGTATGAGGAAAACACTTTCATTACTTTGCAATAGTTGTTTAGGAATTAATATCCTGTTAAAATCAGAGAATGCTATTTCCAAAAATTGCTATAAAATATCGGAAACAACAGTACCTAAATAAAAATTAAATTTAATGATACCTTGGCAGTTTCCTGAAAAGATTGATGCTCCTCTTTCTGCGACTGAATCTCAATCGCATTGCATCCAACCTCCATATGATTTTTCAGTAGAACCTCGTACAAATCGTTCAACCATTTAACCGCCTAAAATTGTCCTAATAAATAAACAAGAATAATAAATTATAAATATTGTGCAATAGTGTTATCACCTGTTCAGCATCGCTCTCGTAAGTGTATATCAAAGCAATCTGTTTCAGAGACAGTTTCTGCAGTTCGACACTGTCGTTAAAAATATTCTTCCTCGCATTTGTTGCGTCTAGAATATCTCTAACGTTCACTATATCTTCACCATAGTCGACTTGCACATCTCTGCCGAGCGCATCCTTCACCGGCATTGAGAGAATGTCCGATAATTTTTCACCTACCTTCACCAACTCACGTTCCAAGGTTTCTGTAATAAATACACCGTGGAGAGTACTTCTTCATTATTTTTAAAGATTTTCTTTGATTCTTTGGTAGAAATGTGAGGAGTGTAGATAAATGGATATCTGTCAGATACAGTAGACTCTCGTTATATTGCCATGGATGGAGAAAGAGGGTCACTTAAAGAGTACCCACTTATGGTTCTTTTTTAGGTCACTACTTTGTACTCAATAAAAATGTACAAGCAATGAAAAATCAATAAAAATATACAAGCAATAAACAATCAATAAAAATGTACAAGCAATAAAAAATTGATAAAAATGTACAAGCAATAAAAAATCAATAAAAATGTACAAGCAATAGTGAAATATTATATTGTAAAATTAAGATATAATAATTAAATTGGAGAAGTATATCGTTGTTGTTAAATTGTAAAATTAAATTGAAGAAGTATATTGTTGTTGTTAAATTGTAAAATTAAATTGTGGTTGATAAATTGTGAATATAAATTCTAGCAATTAAATTGTGATCTATGTTGAAGTAAATAAAACTGTAAAACTATGTTGAGGTAATTTAATTGTGAACTATGTTAAAATAATTAAATTGGAAAATTATAACATAGTAATCAAATTGTAAAACTATGTTACTTTACCTAAGTTACTAAAATTAAATTGTGAAACTATGTTACAGTAACTAAACTACAGAACTTTATTGCAGTATTAAATTGTAACACTAAATTATAGTAATTAAATTATTAAATTGTTGTAATGTGTTGGAGTTTTGAATTTACGCGCTTTTAAAACTCTTAAATGAAGAAATTCGCGGACCTTCGTTTTCTGTTTTTGGTTGCCGTGCAGCGTTTGTGTGTTTGGAGAATCGTTAATGACTTCACGTTTTACAATGCCCGGCGTCTTCTTATAATAATTTATTTTGCGTATTTTTAATAAAAATAAACTGTGTTCACTATTAAAAATCCATCATAATGAAATTGTAAAACCCAGTTCTAGTAAATAGATTATAAAACCATGCAATAATTAATTGCAAAACTATAAAATGAACTAACTTAAAAAATCTAATTATTAAATTTGTTATTAAAAATATTATTTACCAAGAATCGCCTGACTCTGTTCAAGCTTCATAAGATTCACAGCAGCCTGAGAGAAATCATGAGTCCTATTACCCATCACTAATTTGTCGAACACTTCGCTCGTTTTGTCAAAGTACTAAAAAGAGAAACAAAATAAAAAACCAGTATATGTACATACGTATGAAGGTTGTTCCATGTTCTTGAAGAACTACCTCGGAAACTAGTCTGAAGAATCTTTGCGAAGTGATTAACACGTTTCGTCTTCTTTCTAATCTATTTGCGAAACTTCTGCACACAAAGTCCATGAAGTCTCGTTGGGACTTTAAGTCTTCGGATAATCGAGTGCTTGGAAGACTATCTATTTTGTGTAACAGTTCTGCGTATCGTCCATAGGTCTCCTGAAATGAAGATAAAAAAATATTAATAAATTTTTATTCTTTACAAGTTAAATTTGTTGTGCACTATTTTTTAAATACTTCTTCCATTTGTATTATTTTAAAACATTAGCTAATATTTTTCATACAACTCTATCTCAGTTATTGTTAGAAGTTATAACTTCTAAAATTTTTATTTCTCTTCTAAGTCTAGTTTATTGGTTTCTGTTAATTTGCTACTAGTTTGTTTTTATAATGTGAAATATAATAAGATATTATGAAGACATTTATAAGTAATGTGAAGACATAAGTAATATGAAGACATTTGAATACGTTTTTGTGATATTTTTACCCTGCACTCCAGTTCTAATTCTTCATGTCGCCTCCGCAGTTCCTCCGAAGATGAAACATCGAACCCAACCTGGCAACAGGAATTCAACATTGCATCAGCAGGTCCAAGGATCCAATCAGTGACCCGGGACACACCCTTTTCAAGGTCACCGATCACTCTGGCGGTGTCCAGATTCCTCTCCATTTCAGACCATGAGTTCTCGATATCCACCTGTATAATGATCACCGATGATATCAAAATTTATCATTGATATCAAACTTTAAACGCTAACTATATCTCTTTACGTTTACAACATATCTTACATATGTTACATATAATGTTACATTATATGTAAGTATAATGTAATGTATATGTTACCGTGAAAGACCGAAATCTCGAGAATGTCGACATTCACCGGTAAATGTCAACATTCACATAGTCGCTTGGCGTATGTCCGAAATATTTGCTAAATACCCTTATTTCTGACTTACACCGGTAAATGTCGACATTCACCATGCACTAATGGTGAATATTGAACATGTCGGAGATTTATATTTTCTTCTCCGTAATTCAATCGCTATAAAACATCACAAGGGTGACGTAACTTTTTCGCCTCTCTTTCTGAGAGGAGAGACCAAGAATTTAAAACACATAGTACATTCTAAGCATACGTGTT